AAAAGAGGAAAAGAGACAAACTTCAGAGATGTATATGGTTACTTCTATTGGGCATGTTCATATAAAATGTCTATGGAATTTTTTTTAAACGTGCAAAATGTTGTTATATATGTTCATCTGAAGTTTGGGGACAGACATTTGTGAACCATCAGATTGCATGTGCTACCTAAAACTGTACGAGTTGATATTAATAAAGAAAGTATATATATATAAACAGTGATTAAAAGGAACCATCCAAAGCACTATCAATCATTAAGATGAACTATGGAAGAGGAGCCAAATCCTAAGTAATGTTTTTCAAAGTTGAAAGGAAAGAGAGCTAGATGTCCATGCAATTTAAAGACAGTGAAACTCAATGGAAATTAGGTTCAGTTCAAGGACTAGTCATTAGGAAGAAATTGATAAACTTCGAATAGTTTCAGTTGAGTTACAGAGGCAAAAGCCACTTTATAAGTAGATACAAAGAGTGTCTACTCTTGAGAATTTGACATGATGATAAATAAATTAAAAAATCACCATGTTAACTCAAATTGTTTCACTGTTCAAAATTAATAGAAAGCCCTATGGGCAAATATAAAATTATTATATAATTTACTCAAATAGTTATTTTCCTCCTATCGCTTTTTTTTTTTTTTTTTTTGAGGCAGAGTCTCACTCTTTTGCCCAGACTAGAGTGTCGTGGCTTCAGCCTAGCTCACAGCAACCTCAAACTCCTGGGCTCAAGCAATCCTTTAGAGACGGGTCTCATTCTGCTCAGGCTGGTCTCAACAATCTGCCCGCCTCAGTCTCCCAGAATGTAGATTACAGGCGAGACCCACTGTGCCTGGCCTCCCATCACTTTTTCACAGTAGAAAAATGCAGATTTATTTTGTGTTACATTGTTTTGCAAGGAAATCAACTTCTTTATTTAGGATGCTACAACAGGCAGATTCCTGAAAGGAGTGCCCCTGAATACAAATAATGAGAGGAGCTTCAGAAGGGAAGAAAAAGAAGCTGAGGGGGCTCTAAGTCCATTGCCTTCATATTCCAGAATGGTGATTAAAAGAAGAAACTTCAAGAAGTGAGTTCATTGTGATAGGAGGAAAATAACTATTTGAGTAAATTATATAATAATTTTATATTTGCCCATAGGGCTTTCTATTAATTTTGAACAGTGAAACAATTTGAGTTAACATGGTGATTTTTTAAATTTATTTATCATCATGCCAAATTTCTCAAGAGTAGACACTCTTTGTATCTACTTATAAATGTGGCTTTTGCCTCTGTAACTCAACTGAAACTATTCGAAGTTTATCAATTTCTTCCTAATGACTAGTCCCTTGAACTGAACCTAATTTCCAATTTGAGTTTCACTGTCTTTAAATTGCATGGACATCTAGCTCTCTTTCCTTTCAACTTTGAAAAACATTACTTAGGATTTGGCTCCTCTTCCATAGTTCATCTTAATGATTGATTAGTGCTTTGGATGGTTCCTTCTTTTAATCACTGTTTATATATATATATACTTTCTTTTATTAATATCAACTCATACAGTTTTAGGTAGCACATGCAATCTGATGGTTCACAAATGTCTGTCCCCCAAACTTCAGATGAACATATATAACAACATTTTGCACGTTTAAAAAAAAAATTCCATAGACATTTTATATGAACATGCCCCTAATAGAAGTAACCATATACATCTCTGAAGTTTGTCTCTTTTCCTCTTTTGTTATTTAAGGTAATGTATGGCACAAACATTACTCAAGACTCCCTAGCTCAAAAATTATTAGTCATTCAGGGCTGCTTCCCAAATTTCAAACAAAAATGTGTTGCTAGTTTTTATATCTGGGTATATCATCCTTTTTTTATATGTGGGAAATCATTCTCTTTTCTTTTTACCACTTCCCTAGTTTGTCCTTTCAATATATGTTATATATATTTTACAAAGGTGCCCTAACTGGTTTGCAAACCCCATTTTCCCTCCTTGAATCAGTCTTCCATATAACAATCCACCTAAGTGGTGTCCCATGTCATGCCCTGAGTAAAATCTTCTAATGACTCCCCCTTACCTAAGCTCCTTAGGTTCCTTAAGGACCCAATCTTTGATTTATTTTGTGTACTAAATTCCAGATAAATGTCTTTCTGTTTCTCTGGAATATTCTGTGGAATATGACCTTGATGTTTTTGTTTACTCTGAACTTTGCTGGAATATTAATGATATCCCTTTCTCTGCTTTGCAATTCCTCTCCTCAGTTCAGGTTTCACCTCATACAATAAGCCTTTCTTTTTCTTTTTTTTTTTTGAGTCAGAGTCTCACTCTGTTGCCTGGACCAGAGTGCCATAGCATCAACCTAGCTCACAGCAATCTCAAACTCCTGGGCTCAAGCAATCCTCCTGCCTCAGCCTCCCAAGTAGCTGGAACTACAGGCATGCGCCACCATGCCCAGCTAATTTTTTTTTGCATATATATTCTTAGTTGGTCAATTAATTATTTCAATTTTTAGTAGAGACAGGGTCTCGCTCTTGCTCAGGCTGGTTTCAAACTCCTGACCTTGAGTGATCCTCCTGCCTCAGCCTCCCAGAGGGCTAGGATTACAGGCGTGAGCCACTGGGCCCGGCAATAAGCCTTTCTTGACTCTCCCCCATACTCTTCTTCTTGGTTAGATGTGTTCAGAGACCGTTGTGTGTATCTCTATCACTACAATTGTTGCAGTAGGTGATTTATGTGTATAGATGTATATTTCCACCAATCTGAGATAAACAATAAATTTTTGAATCTTCATGCCTAGCAATGTGCCTGGCATACAGTAGGAACTCAATAAGTATTGTCAAACCATTGTCTGTGGTTATGTTTGTGCTGAAGGCACTCAATAAATATTCATTAAGCTGATGTAAATAGCAATAAAAATTATCTTGAAGGTAACATTAACATAAATATTTTCTTAAGTTTTTATTATATATGTATTTAATGTATTAATTTTGTGTTGGAGAGGTAGTCATGTAGCAAGCAAAAATATGTCTATAATAACAACTTTTAGAAAGAAGGATCTTTAATGCATTTTAATGGTAAGGCTACTTTTATCAGTAATGCTTTAGAATTCTGTCTTCCCACTTTAGTTTAATGATATGTTGCCATAGATTCAATTTTAATAAACAAATGATTCTGTTATTTTCCTAGAGTCATATGGGAGCCTATCTTTTTTTTTTTTTTTTTTCAGAGTCAAGATCTTGCTCTATTGCCCAGACTTGAGTGCAGCAACATCATTATAGCTCACTGAAGCGTTGAACTGGGCTCAAGCAATCCTCCCACCTCAGCTAGGACTACAGGTATGCACCCCTACATCCAGTTAATTTTTTAAAAAAATTTTTTGTAGAAATGAGGTTTTACTATGTTGCCCAGGCTGGTCCCAAACTCCTGGCCTTAAGCAATTCTCCCACCTCAACTTCTTAAAGTGCTGAGATTAGAGCTGTAAGCCCACCACATCTGACCAGGAGTCAATCATTGATGTATTTGTAGATAATTGGCTATTCTTATTCCCTTATTCTTTACCATTGTGAATGACAGACTGTATGCATTTTTATCATCCTGGTTCAATTTAGAAGTGCAATCTCTAAAGCAATTAGGATTCTATGGATTAGGAAAAGACAAGTTTGTAGCTCTGGCTTGAGAGAGGCAAAGCATTTTATGTAACCAAAATGTTGTATTCTGAAATTTAAATAAAAGAATTAAGTGAGATCATATACAATACAGTATTTTATAAAATGCTTGGCTTTCAGTAAGCACTAGATAAATGGCAGCTATTGTTATTATTATGAGTAAAAAAATTATGAAAACAAAAGTCCGTCCGTAATCCTTTTTGAAACTGGTGTCTGTTTTTAAATGATCTATGAAACATGTAACAAAGTGTTTACCTTCACCAATTATAAGCAAAGGACCTTTTAATATTTCCTTCTGGAATTTTATGATATGTTATATAATAAAGTCAGACATAGCTGGAGTTCAATTCTTAAAAAAAAGAATTTTATGAATTAGATGATAAGAAAAAGGCATTTACCAATTAAACATTGCCATATAGGAGTATGTCTGATTTTCTATACCCTAACATATGCCATGAAATGCATACTAAAATTCACTAGTAGAAGAAACATCCAATGCTATAAATATAATGTGATAAAATGGATTTGAATCCTTTCACAATAAGGCATAGAAATAGAGAACATATTATGTGTCATAGATTTTGAAAATGTTTTAGCACATTTTAAAGATTTAAAAAATATTTGAATAATTTTCCATCAAAATTCAAATGATTCACCTGGAGAAAACATAATTCAGGCATATACATATTTCATAACTTTAATATAGTTATTAAAATAACTAAAAGTATATTATTAACTCCATTGAAATAGTTTTATCATCTATGTCACTATCTATGATGGCCACTGTTATAGTCATTAAATTTCTATGATATCTTTACAGCTAACTCTCTATGCCTTACTTCTTTTTCTATATAAAAACAAAGAAAAATAACCTATTTAAAGTTATCTGACTTTGATAATCAAAGTGATAAATTACTGATATGACATTACCTCAAAGTAACACAGTTTGTTAAAAGTATATAAAATGCCATCAAGGAAAATTCAAACAAGTTAATTGAGAATCGATTACCCAGTTCCATTATTATAAAAACCTATATTGTTTTTCTTCAGGGAATAAAATACAAGCATGTGATTTTAGAGAATCGCAATTTGCCTGGATTATGTTTTCTCCAGGCAAATCATTTGAATTTTGATAGAAAATTATTCAAACACATTAACTTGTTAGGTGTTAATTACTAAAAGAAAAGGGTATTTCTCTTTATCAAATAGCTTTTAGAACTAAAGAAAGCTTAATCATGATTTTTGTGATGCTCATATCACAGAATATTTGAATACTCATATTTTAATATTTGCTCAAATCCACCTTTAATGCATGCTCACACATAGCAATCTATTAGCAGAAATGACTGCCATTTTCTTACCTGAAATGAAGTAATTGGATATATATTAACATGAGCCTCGTTCCATCGTTGTCCTTTATTCCCACTTGAAGACCACAGTGGATTTTCTATTGTTGTCTGCCCTTTCAAACGTAGATAAACATTTAAGACACCTAAAAATAACAATGAAATTTTATTTTGTGTATTTGTTTTTGCTTCATATTTGTTTCTCCTAAACCAAATACCAAACACTTGTAAACTTTTTAAAGGGAAATTTCACAGAACACTCCCGTGTCTTATTCCTCTTTTCTCTCCTTTCCTATCATGCTCTTACCACATTTGACATTTGATCCGAAGATAACCAGGCCCAAGATAACCTAGAACCTGTGAATGTTTCCTGGTATTCAAAAGGGACTTGGTTAAATTAAGGTTTTGAAATGGGGGATTACTCCATATTATCTGGCTGGGCTGTAAATGCAATCACGCATATCTTTAAAAAACACAGACAGTGGAAAATTTGATACAGGAGAGAGGTCATGTGAGAGAAGAAGATGTTACACAGCTGGTTTTGAAGATGGAGGAAGGGGCCACAAGAAATACAAGCAGCCCAGGAAACAGTTTCTCTCCTGGAGCCTTCAGGAGTCCTACTGAGATCTCAATTTTAGCCTCATAATACTTATTTTAGGTTTCTCTTCTCCAGAACTGTAAGAGAACAAATTTGTGTTGTTTTAAGCCACAAAGTTTGTGGTCATTTGTTATTTGTTACAGCAACTGTAGAAATTAATATAGCATGTAACCATGTACTGACTGACTCGCTCATAGTTTGACCCTAATTGTGTTGTCTCACAATATCATTTAGCTTATTTTTTCCAGTTTAATTTTCACCCATCTCATTTTTCTTCTGAAAGAATTATTTGAAAATAAAATAAAGATAGCTTATTCTCATCAATTGATACCTCTCTTTCAATAGTTTCATGTGCTGTAAATATTGATAGCACTGATCATAAATAATAACACAATAAGATATATATTGACCACTTACTCCAGATAAGGGATTAATCCTCTCAACAATCCTATGAAGTATTTATTATTACTATTCCCACATTATCAATGAGAAAATTTAAAGGACTTAAGTAATTTGCCCTATGTCATACAGTAAGAAAACAGCAGAAGCAGGATTTGAACTCAGCAAGTTTCTGAGTCTTACATCTTACTCATTAGGCAATCAATATTTTAATAGATAATTTTTTTAAAAAATTGACTTTTTTGAAGTATAGTCAACATGCAATAAAATTCATTCATTTCTAAGTGTACAGGTCAATAATTTTAGACTAATGTATACTATTAATACAAGGTAAGTGCCACTCAATCAAGATATAGAACATTTACATTTTCCAAAAGAGTTTCCTCATTTTCCTTTGTAGTTATTCTTTCCAGGCACCATTCCTGTGGCCAGGTAACTACTGATCTGACTTCTGTCACTAATCAATGATTTTTGCCTTTTCTAGAATCTCCTATTAGTGGAATTATCCAGTATGTACTTTTTGTGATTGTCTTCTTACTTTCCCTCAGCACATCTATATTTATCTGTTATTGCTTGTATTAGTCCTTTTAAATTCAGTGTTAAGCTCATTTACATTTAATGTAGTCATTACTATGTTCAGACTTAAATATACCATCTTGGTTTTCACTTGTCTCTTCTGTTTTTCTTCCTCCATGTCTTTTTCCATTCCTTCTTTTCAGATGATCAAATATTTTTAAAATTTATTTCCTTAACCATATTTTTTATTATGATTTAGTGGTTGTTCTAGAGCTAACAAGAGGCATTTATAATTTTTCAGAGTCTAATTAGTCAATATTTTACTTCTTCATACTCACAATTCATAATTCACATCCCCTCCATGTGTTCCTCCATCATCTTATCCTGTTTATTTCACACCTGATACTTCTCACATTCTATATCTCATTCAAGGAATGTGACAATCTTACAACAATATAATTCTTCTGCCCCATTTCTTTATTTAATTATAATTGTATCTTTTACTTTTGTTTTTTGTTTACATTATAAACCCTACCTTAGAGTGCTATTATCTTTGAAGAGTCAGATATATTTTACATTAATTACAAGAAGAAAGAAAATATGATTTTTCAATTACCACTTAGTATCATTTTTGGTGGTCTTCATTTTTATCTGTAGATGTGAGTTATAATCTGGTACCATTTCCCTGTGGAAATACTTTAACACTTTTTAAAGTGGTGAGCTGCTAGAGGCAAAGTTTCTCTGAGTGGTTTATGCAATAATATCCTCATTTCACTCTTGTATTTTTTATAACGTTTAGAATTCTGACAGGTTCTTTTTTTCCTTGTACTTTAAAGATACTGTTCCACTCTCTTCTGTAATCCATTGTTTCTAAAGTGAAGTCAGCCATAATTCATCTTTGTTCCCTTGTATATAATATGCTTTTCTTTCTCGCTCAGCTGCTTTTTTAGAATTTCCCTTTGTCTTTGGTTTGTAGTCATTTGATTATGATTTACGTAAATATGGTTTTCTTTATATTCATCTTGCTCAGGGTTTTGCTGAGTTTCTTCCAAGTTTTTCCCATTAGTTCTTAAAATATTTTTCTGCTTCATTGTCTCATTTACATACTCCAGTTTTATCTATAACTATATCCATGTCTATATATTTATTAATGGAATTTGCTATTCTTCTATAGGTCATTGTGGCTCTGTTCATTTTTCTTCAATAGTTCACCTCTTTTCTCAGATTGGGAAATTATGTCTGTTTTTAAATTCACTGATTATTTTTTTCTGCCATCTCCAGTCTTTTGTTAAGCCCATCCAGTGAATTTTTAAATATCATTCATTATACTTTATAGTATAATTTTTCTTATTTTGTCTTTATGTATAGTTTTGTCCTTTCTCTGCTGAACTTCTCTATTCATTCATTCATTCCTTTGATTTCCTTAGTATGTTCCCTTTTATTTTATTGAATACATTTATAATACCATCTTTAAAGTCTCTGTCTGCTAAGTTCCAAGTCTAGCTCTATTTAGTTTAGTTTCTATGGATCAATGTTTAATTTTTTACAGCTATTGATCATATTTCCTATTTATTTGTATCTAATGACTTTCGGTGAATAATGAATATTTTGGATATTCCATTAGAGAGTCTCTAAATCTGTAATCTCTCTCTGGTCTGTTGGCTCTTGTTTTAGCAGACTATTCAATTATGGACTCATCATGTTGATCTTATATAGGCTTGGTTTTACACTATTAATGCAAATCTATGAAGAGCCCAAATTGTTGCTCTAGATTCTCTAACTTTATGGGAAACAACCACTAAATCTGTCTTGTCTGTGGATCTTGTTGGGGTTTGCATTTAGGCTTTTTAAGGAAAGGTCTAGAGAAGGAATTTCTCCTGGGTATGATTCTAACTCCTAAGAGAGAGCCTCTTTTATTTTATTTGTGTTACCAGGGGCTTTGAGGAGGTCTCTGTAACATTACTTTAACATTGCTAAAACCCCAACATTCCCTTTTGCTGTTCCCCTAGAACTTCTTGACCTCCTCATCTCTCTGTTGTACAATCAATCCCATAAAAACTATGTTACTCTAGTGTAAATCTTGGGTTTTTTTTAGTCTTGTACATGTACAGCCAGCTTTCAGCAAAGCCTAATGGGGGAACCCCATACAGACTTCCACATTCAACCCTGCTTACTTCTCTTCTTTCTGTTAGTCTGACCCACAGATTCCAACTACTTCAAATGGCCAGTACTCTAATCTCTATCTCCTGACTTAGTGGTACCTTCATATTCTGCTTGAATTTCAGAGATCTGTGCCAAGGTCAGGAAATTGTCTTTAGGCAGAGAACTGGACTATTACAGAGATCACCTCATTAGTTTCTCTTTTCTTATGCATTTCATTCTTGTTTTGCCTTTTGTCTGCTTTCTAAAGACAGCCATTTAATATATCTCTTAGTTGTTTAAGGCAGTATTACTTAATTGGTACCATTTAGTACTACATGAATTTTAGATTCATTTTGATCATTTTATAATCATATACATTCTTGGTAATATGTTTTTATATATAGTTTAAAATGTGCATATATCTTACATAAAATATAATATTTATTTTTGAATATTATACATAAATACTGAAAAGCAGAAAAAATGATATAAAAATTACCATTAAATTAAATCACTCAAAGGTAACCTCCTTAACATTTTGGTGTATGTTATCTCAAGTTTTTAAAAAGAATATTTACCTACATATATACAGTTATATGATACAAAATAGTTTATCCTTCAAATTTTTAGAGGAATTTTATTTAATTATTTATACACAAGACTATACATATGCATATTTTATACAAGTGCATGAATATGAGTACCCACTTTTTAGGAAAAACCTATTAATACATTCTTCATATCATAGCTGAATGACTTTGGCTTGGTCTCTAAATCCCTCTTTGCCTCCCTTATCAGGTAAATGATGACAATTAGTGTCAGTTTGTGAGAATTAAAATTAAAGTATGTAAACTATATATTATGTCTCATACATAAGCACTATGTTTATTATCTATAAGAATATTCAAATATTTCTCAATTTTCCTAATTATATGATAGATTATATTAACACATCCCATGATATTGAACTAATATTATATTACATGAATAAATTTTACTTGGTAATAGACTAGTATTCTTTAGGAATAATGTATATATATTTATCCAAAAAGTTCTCTTGTTTTCTTTTGTAGTTTTATCTTTTGGTGCTACATTTTCACTTTTTGTTTCAAAATCTATTATCTTCTCTTTTTCTCCTTCAATGTGAGAAATAATCTCAAATTTGTCCTCCACAGTATTGACTTTATTTTTCATAGAATAGATTCATAGAATAGATCCTTTGTTTCTAATGTCATCATTATCTTGCTATTGTGTTATTTATAATGTTACATCCTTTTCTGATCTCATAGAGCTCTATCTTTTATCCAGTTCCTTCTTTTTCTTGGTTTACAGTTCTATCATCTTATCTTCTATTGTTTCATAAAATTCAGATTCTTGTGTATTTATAAAGCATATACTGTACAAATTATACTTTCCCCCAAACTATAATAAGTCTTTTTCAACAGTATATGCTGCTTCTACTATGTGCCATGTTAGCCTCTTTTTATTTTG